ATATCGGATATCGGCCAAAATCCCAATATCGTGCATCCCTAGTTTTATCCCTATTATAGATATGTACATATGCTGCAGTTGTTGCAATAAAACATGGAGGAAATCCAGAGATTAAACCAAAGATCCAGCTATTTGTACAACGTTACGTAATTTGTCAGGAGTCAGGTTTGCGTCACTCACGTGGGTTTGATGGTATCTTTGTGTTTTTCATGAATGAACGCCGCGGCCAGACCACCAGCTCCTGAATTCAAATACTTTAAACCAAACACAGACGTCAGGAAGAGAGATGCGAGTCTGTCTCATGTCCTGCATTCATCTCACCTTGTAGGAGCACCAGCAGGCAAAGTCAACCTCCCAGTCATGCAGCTTCAGCTCAACATTTCCCACTGCATGGGCGCAGTCGAATCCAACAAAGCAGCCCTGATGAAACACAAAAAGCTGTTGGATTCTTCTTCTTTTGAAAACCCACAACATGTGATGGTACAGGTACCTTTCTGTGGCCGGCCTTTGTGATGGCCTGCATGTCGAACAGCTGACCGGTGTAGAACTGAACCCCGCCAAACATCACCACAGCGATGGCGTCGCCTTCTTTCTCGATTACGTCCAGGATGTCTTCAGTTCTCAGGGTGTGTTCTCCCTGATCAGACGGGGAAAGAGATCAGATTTCTGGGAAGCAGCGATTGATGGGACAGAAGAGATGCGATGGATGATGTTGTGGACGCACCGGTCTGGGAGAGAGCAGCAGCATGCTGTCTGCAGGTTCAAATCCTCGCAGGCGGATCTGAGACTCTATGGCGTACTGAGGACAGTGGAGGAAAACTTACGATACAAAAAATGGCCCAAGAAACAGGAAAGTGAAAAGGAACTATGCATTTAAAAATGACATTATCGTCTGCATAGAGGGAAAGTTTGAGACATACGTGATCTGAAGGAAAGGCCTTGTCCTCCAGAAGGATTTTATGTCTAGTTGAAGTTGGTTTGTAGAAGGACAGCTGCAAAATGAGACAAATTAAATAAATTACATTTTTTTCTCTTATAAAATGATTTACTTTTCAAATATTTATCCAGATGTTACCATTAGAAGGTGCAGATTAACTGTCAGGCCATTCATCAGTGCTACCTCCTCAGTTTTAGCTCCTGAAATTAAATAATCATCTTATTGGACATTGAAACGTAGTTATCATCTTACATATGAGATAGAGATTAGAAAAAAGTTTTGAACACTTGATTAAAAATATTATTTAATCTGAATTTGTTAAGCAGAAAATTGATGTGGAGTTCCTAAAAAGGAGAGGTTAATAAAGTGGTTTGAACTCATCAGTTCAGGGGGTTATCTGCTGTTGAACTTCAGACTCTACAGAAGCAGGATTGGAAAGAAGGAAACATGTGGAAATAACCGAACAACAGCTTTAAAAAACATCAAGCAGCCTTACTTTATTATGCACAAAACTTTTTAACCTTAAAATTAGAAAGTTACAGATTATTTCCCTGCAGATAGTATCTGAAACCCACAGGTAACGTTTTACTGTTTGTTTTTAACAGCTTTGCCATGATTTACGGTAACTTTACAGGCTTATTTACTGGTTATATTACAGTGTTTACCGTAATTTTTGTGGATTAAACCAATGGATTGGTTCTCTTTGTTTTATTGATGATTAAAGATTTATTATATCTGTAATTTTTTTTGAAAATGTCTTTCTGTCCATGTTCTTTAGGTGTTTTTGTATTTTTTTCCAAACTCACCAACAATTTTTGCCATCATGTCTTCAAGGTTGTTTTCAGCCCACGCCCAAGGCCTCGACCCGATGGTGTGACCATGAACAGCTCTGTTTAAAACAAAATTATTAAAATCAGACATCAGAAATGATTCATACACTAAACCTGACATGAACTGACAGTTTGGCCCAGTTGTCGAGCTCCTCTTCAAGATATTTCCGTGCGTTTTTAGGTTGGAGGCCCAGAGAGTTCCCGCACAGGTAGATGCATTCTTCGCTTCCATCCACCAGCGACAGATCGGCTGCAGAGAGGGAAACTAAACCATCACACTCCATGTTGGGTTCATGTTGTCGCATCCTTAGAGCAACATTTTCTACTCACAGGGAGGCAGGTCGGCAATTTTAGGCACCAGGAAGTTCCCCCTGAGGTGTCGCAGTTTGTCGTTTTCGTCAAAGTACTCGGCTACTTTCTCAGAGGTCGGACTGCAGCCCAGCAAGCCGGACACTTTTTTCACAGCCTCTGTGGGATCTAAGTCAAAAAGCTGATCCATGGGAGCAGAAAGTCTGCAGGGATAAACAACAACAAAGAGATGTAAAGATCTCCCATCTAGATAAACTGACCTTTGAATCCTCTTTTTAATGAAATAATTACCTGCTAGATTTAAAGCTTATGTTTAAAAAAAGTTGTGTTTGGGGATGGATTTACTTTAAGGGAATGTTCTGATCTGCTCTGAAACCAAAACAAATGTTATATTAAAGGTCACAACCTTTATTTTCTCTGACTGAGGTATTTCAATGCTATAATAAGCACTAAATGTAGACATCATGGACTCAGACCTGAGCCGTAAGTAAATAAATAACTCCTGTCACTGTAAAACGTCCTCTGCATTAAGGCTGGACTTTAATGCATTTAATGTCATTCATATCTATATAAGTTTTGCAACTGATTAAATGTATATTTCATGTTTTTCTAATTATTTTTAATTGATGTTCTCTTGTTTTAATTTGCCTAAAATGTCTGATTGACCTTTTCTCTGCTGCTGTGTCCCACTGTCTTCATGTCTGTCACCACTTTATAAAGTGAAAGTGTTGTGGAAGTGCTAACTTACAGTGGATCAGTCGGTTAGAGACGCTTCCTCTCTGCTGACGGGACTCGGACAGACTGACTCCTCAGAGATGCTCTTTAACCCCTCAGTGTGTGATGGTTAATCATTGCATGAACACACACCTCCAGCTCCTGATAATGGCTGCACAGCTCAACTAAACCTACGGCTGAAAATTTTTTAGTTTTTTGTTTTCCCAATACTTGGTTCCTCTTTTCTGTGGTTTCAGTTTCATGTGTGATGTTCAGATTAAACTGAAATGTGTTCAGATGGTCTCAGACAGCTGGGATTTGTTCCCATTTAGAAACCAGGAAAGGTGAAGACTGTAAAAAATAAAACAATTTGATTTTGGTTGATCAGTAACAACTTCTTCCTAACTCTATAAATGCAGAAGTGAATGTTACTGTAAATATAAAATCATTTAAGTGTAATTTCAAATAATCTCCATTACTCTCCCTGTCCACCAGGGGGCATAAAGAATATTCTGTTCATATTTATAATACTTTATATCATTAATGTAAAGCATCTTGAAACATGATGCACATTTAAAAATCAGCATTATTTGAAGCCTCCCCCCTCAATGGTTCAGTCCACCTCCCCTCTCTATAAATCAAAATGGATCCCTCCACTTCCTGTTTGTCAGTAGTCCTTTCACCTGGAGCACATGGAGCAAACATGGGTGAGAATCCTCCTCAGCTTTTATTTTTCTATTTCTTTCACTTGATTGTGATAGTTTTACTCTCTCTGGTTACATAAAATGCATTCCTTAATAAATCTGAATAATCTGGACTTTTTAATGCTGCTGAAGTTTTTGATGCATCAGAATTCAGTAATTAATCCCATTGGATTATAATATAATCACTCAAACTTAAACAGCAGATTTTCCCATTTACTTAAATGTTATATGAATAATAGTGCTGCATGCACATAGATCTAAAACACAGACATTATACTCAATACAGATATTTATTCACATAGCAAATCTACACAGTTAGGCTCTAGATCAAAGCACAGATTAGCTTAGTTTTAAAGGACAGCTCAGTTTATAAAAAGTAGTGAGGAAGCCAGGAGGAAAACACAGGAGAAAGAGGGGGGTTAGCCAAT